TGGCCCTATATATATATATATATATATATATATATATATATATATATATATATATATATATATATATATATATATATATATATATATATATATATATATATATATATGTATATATATATATCAATAGTCAGTACGTATTGGTTTGAAATAAACTTCCCCCTCTGTGCACACACTTCGCTTGCATCGCTACAAGAATACTCTTGAACACAAAAGACCTAAGAACACTCATTCATAGCCTCCTAGTAGATTCAACATTTGAGCAGCAATAAACCTAAGAACACTTCTGAGCCTTGAGGCTTGAACCCAAAAAAATTGATAGCGTGTTCTCGCATAATTCTCATTTTTTGTTTTAAATTCTTATATAGAAACAAAGCCTTCTGAAATATTGGCTTTTTAAAAGGGTTTGGTTAATAGACAAGTGTTTATTTATTCGTTATCGATTACACTTTTCGATCAGGTGTGTTACAGAAATGGGTTTCAATCCACAGTCAATCCACAGTCAAATACATACCCTCCAAAATTACATTATATATGCCAATAAGAGTTTGACTGAAGTAGCAAGAAAGACCGCGATTAGAACGGTATAGCATAGCATTGCAGCCTCTGCATGTAGATTATCCAACACACCCAGTAGAGCCCACAGTTCGCCTGCAGGTGTACATGCTCACATACAAACAATTAAAGCACAGCCTAAATCGTATAAACAATTAAAGCACAGCCTAAGTCGTATAAAAGTAGACAAATTGATGGCTGGAGCATGGCCACCAACATCGTACATTGCTACAATGGCATGCATGTCAAAAAACAACTTTTGAATAAACGTGTGATGGCGACTAACGAAGTGGCGTGCATTATTGGATAGCCCCACCTGTGCAGCGTTTATGTTGAATTGGTTGAGCCGTGTTTGCCGTTGTGAATGCGTTTGTGGTGACGTAGATGAAAAGATCGTTTAAACGTTGCAACTAGTCATGCGCACAGGGACGACGTTCGTCCGAGTGCACACGTTTGTGTCTTTTTAAACTATCCTTTCAACTAAAATCCTTACCACACCCATTATAGTCACACGCATAGGAACGTTCACCCGTGTGCACGCGTTTGTGTCTTTTCAAACCACCACTTCCAGCGAACTTCATGTAACACCCAGGGTAGTCACACACATAAGATCGTTCGCCTGTGTGCACGCGCTTGAGCTTTTTCAAATTACCACTTTCAGCGAACTTCAGGCCACACCCAGGGTAGTCACAAGGATAAGGACGTTCGCCCGTGTGTACGCGTTCGTGCGTTCTCAAATGAACTATTTGAGTAAACTTTTTACCGCACCCAGGAAAGTCACACACATAGGGACGTTCGCCCATGTGTACGCGTTCGTGTAGTTTCAAATGACCATTTGAGCAAACTCTTTGCCACGTTCGCCCGAGTGCACGCGCTTGTGTGTTTTCAAAACATCACTTCGAGTAAACGTATTGCCACAACCAGGATAGTCGCATGCATAAGGACGTTCGCCTGTGTGCACGCGAATGTGCACTATCAAACGATCATTTCGAATGAAATTCTTGCCACACCCAGGACAGTCACACACATAGGGACGTTCGCCCGTGTGTATGCGTTCGTGTAGTTTCAAACTACCACTTGCAGTAAACTACATGCCACACTCAGGATAGTCGCACGCATAAGGACGTTCGCCCGTGTGTACGCGTTCGTGCAGTTTCAAATGACATATTTGATTAAACCTTTCGCCACAACCAGGATAGTCGCATGCATAGGGACGTACACCAGTGTGCACTAATTTGTGTCTATTCAAACTATCATTTGCAGTAAACTCTTTGCCACAACCAGGATAGTCACACGCATAGGGACGTTCACCCGTGTGCACTAGTTTGTGTCTATTCAAACTACCACTTGCTGTAAACTCCATGCCACACCCAGGATAGTCACACGCATAAGGACGTTCGCCCGTGTGTACGCGTTCGTGTAGTTTCAAATGACATATTTGATTAAACTCTTTGCCACAACCAGGATAGTCGCACGCATAGGGACGTTCACCCGTGTGCACTAGTTTGTGTCTATTCAAACTACCACTTGCAGTAAACTCTTTGGCACACCCAGGATAGTCGCATGCATAGGGACATTCGCCGGTGTGCACACGCATATGCCTCTTTAATGCAGAAGGACTGGCACATGTCTGACCACAGTTGGGCCACTCACAAGCGTATGGTTTCACTGTGGCAGATGTCGATCTGATAGTACGGACCGACAGATTGTTTGCGGAACGGAGCCTGTGCATAACAATTGTATATATTGATGGATTGTGTTTGTGACATAGAAAAGTGTGATCATAGTGCCTATACAGTGCTTTTAGAATGAACATATCTACAGAAAACCAGTTACGCTCGAGATTTGTATCGGAGAAAGCATAATAGATCATAGTTAGTCATAACGAGTATACGGCCGAGATATGAATGTGTTGCATGGCAACGAAATTACACAGCACGCACATTCCGTAATCAGTGTTTGTGCCGCACCCGTCATCTTCGATTCGAAAATGCCCCAAAAAGTCATCAGCATACACAGAACGTGTACTTTATGACGTATTCTGGAGCAACACCTACTACAGGTACACTTTACACACATTGTTTTACAGATAGCAACTATTGACACTAGCTGTGCTTCTGACTGCGGCCAATCGACAACAATATAAGTATGGAGTGTGACGATACCAAACACTATATATATATATATATATATATAATAAAATAGTATATAAATACTATAATATATATTATATCTATATATATATATGTATAGTATATAGTATATACGCCTATATACAAATTTTAAATATATATATAATGTTTTAATTATATAATTACATATACCATACAATTAAACTATGGATATATATAAATATATATAAATATATATTTA